ACATACAAAGATAATTTGTATGGTCGACCAATTATGCCTATTGTCAGTGTCAATCATCACCATAACACAATTGTGTTTGCCACTGCCATAATCGCTGACGAGACGTCTCAATCTTTCGAGTGGGTGCTACAGAATTTTTTAGAAGCCATGATGAATAAATCACCTATTTCAGTTGTCACCGATGGGGATAGGGCAATGCAGAGGGCTATCAGATCTGTTATTCCTTATGCTAAGCACATATTATGTTCTTGGCATCTTTCTCGCAATGCACAAGCTAACATTGGTGACCCAAAGTTTACAGCAGCATTCTCAAAATGCATGGCTTCCTGGTGGACAACCGAGGAATTTGATATTCAAATTAAGTTTTATTTTATTCAACTTACCTTCTGCTTCTTCTTCTGGGGTGCAGGACATTCCAAATCCAAATCTGCTGCCATAACACTCTCTGGTGTATAAATGACATCGACTTCCTTCCTCCTCATTTCTTCAATCTCTTCTTCTTCCTCATCCCTCTTTTTTTCTTCATATTTTTTCAGTTCATCGTATTTTTTCTCTACATAGCTCTTTATCTCTTTTATTTCACCCTTCAATTGATCTCCTTCATCCAAGTATTTATCAACCACCCCTTTCACCCCCGTAAGTTCACTCCTCAATTCCACAACCTCCTTCACCACTCCCTCAAATTTTTCACCCGTCACCATCTTAAGATCACCCCTTAACACCTCAACTTCTTTCACCGCTTCACCCCTCAACACCTCTACTTCTTTCACCACTCCATCTATTTTTCCTTCCACTACCCCCTTATGCCTCTCAAGTGTATCTTCGACTCTATCAAGTTTCTCTTCGACTTTTGATTGTCTTTGCATGATATAAAATTGGATTTTTTTGATATCAGCCAATTCAGACATCAAAATGTCGAAGTTACTCTGTTTTTCCTCACCGTCATCCCCCAATACAACCATCTCTCCTTTCTTCTCCTCTACCTCCACTACCTCCTCTACATCTTTGCCAATAACCTTCAAAATTAAATTACAATATTAAGACATTGATTATATTCTTAATATTATTTAATTACATTTATTACCCTTTCTTGCTTCTTCGCTCTATCCAACTTCAACTTCACCATCACTCTAACCACCTCTTCCTTCCCCCATGCACGGATGCGTGCCACTCCGGTTCTTTCATAAACCGGCACTGCCTCATAACCCGACCAAAAATCGAACAGTGCAACCTACATTTATAATAAAATTTATATTTTTATATAATAACTATACTATCATTTTATATAAAAACACAAAAAATTATTCAACTCATTTACCTCTAAGATTGCTATGCACCCTTTGAGGTATCTCTGGCTGCCTTTTTTAAAGGTGATTATTGATTCAATCAATCTCGAATGGATATATTCAGCCCAATTAAATTCAGCCTTCAAGCCTTCATCACAAATGAGCTTCATATATTCCTTGTTCGTTGACGTATCACCCGTTGGACAAAGAAAGATACCGACAAGGTATAATAGAACTCTGGCCTTCAGCTCATCCCCCCGTAAGATCCACTTTTTATTTCCTCTTCAATTTCAGCATATGTCACCTTCTGCTTCAAATCATATTTGGAGGCAAGTGCTTTCCAGTCCTTACTCTTACAGACTTTTACAACACTTTTGCCTTCATTTTCTACCCCCAATACGGCTGCAGCACATGGGATCCCGAGAGGAAATGAAAAATCACCATACTTAGCAATACATTGTCTGACATCAAATTGCGCCATCAAGGATCGACACAATTCCCTCCGAATAGGTCGATCCCTTACTCCTACCAACGATCCAAAACCTATTTCTCCCAGCACATTCAACTGACACTTCTCCTTAAGGTGTTTAATTAATGAATTCACCCTTTTAATGCTGCATCTTGTCGACACTTCCTACATTTTTTTAACAATATATAATGTTATAGTTCTTATATATTTTGTATCAACGTATTTACAAGTTTAATGAATACCTTATTTTCATGTGCTTTCCTCCGTTCTTTGTATTCTTTACTATCATTCCTTGACTGTGTGATGTAAGGTTTCTTTTCAGCATCACTCATCGAATTCCATTTAGACCTCACATCTTTTGTCACCTAATATTAAACATAAACGTTTCTTAATCAATACATTAACACTAAATAATACTCAATGTCAATTTCATTTTACATACCGAACCGCTCTGTGTGCCATCTTCCTTCATCCTTTTGCATTCGGCCATACTGTCAACATTTAAAATTTGTAATCAATTTAAAGTTTATCGATACTTTAATCCAATTACCATTTCAACAATAATAACAAAAAGACATTGATACTTACTAGAAGTACATATATCCACCCTTTGGTTTCTTTCGAGTCTCGACCTCAATTTCAAAGTCATATGCGCCACAAACAATTTTCCAACCCATTGACTCCATTTTTCCTGGCCTTTATATATAAGTTTACGCAAATCAAATTATTTTGTTACATACACTTTATTCAATATACAAATATAGATAATTACTCTTGTGGTAAAACAGTTTTCTTCAAAAGAATTTGAATGGCCATTACAAAATGTGTCGGCACATTTATACAACCTATAATATCATTTTCTACCTATAATATTTAATAAAAGTATTGACATTTATATTTTTCCTTGAATATCACTTTCTACCTGTAATCGGTCCCAAATACTTCTTTACTCCAAAACCCCAAACAACACATAAAAATCCTATCGCGGTTACTGTAATAATAAAAAATTAGGGTTTCGATAACATACTTTTCGATTCGACTGCAGCAACAAATAAACAAACTTCGCTTTAGAAACGTCTTCTGAAATGCAGCAACAATTACGCTTCGATTTCAAAAACTCGTCCGTTCTATCTATTTTCAGAGGATATTTAGCTATGACCTTTATATTTTCATCGGATATGTTATTTATATTTAATCGATACAAATACAAAAGTGTCGATACTTTTATGTCAGGTGTCGATACTTTCGAAATGATAATTACGTATTTCTTTGAAAGTATCGATAATTTATTACACGTACTTACGAAAGTATCGACACTTTTAATATATCCAGTATCATTTTACCGATTTTATCATTTTGATACCGGTTTTATCATATTTTTACTTGTTATATCGTTGTTTGATCGATACATTTTTTTAAAGTATCGACACTTTATAGGCGCTAAAACTGCTTCTCTTTAAATTCACAAAGTGTCGATCCTTATATAAAGTTTCGACACTTTCAATATATCCGGTAGCGTTTTACCGGTTTCATCATTTTGATACCAGTTTTATCATATTTTTACCTGTTATATCGTTGTTAATCGATATATTTTTTGAAAGTATCGACACTTTATATGCGCTAAAACTGCTTCTCTTTTAAATTAACGAAGCGTCGATCCTTATATTAAAGTATCGACACTTTAAATATATTCGGTACCGCTTTACCGGTTTTTTCATTTCAATACTGGTTTTGTCATAGTTTTACCTGTTATATCGTTCTGGATCGATACATTTTTAATTTGGATGGACACGAACCGACAAGTTAAGTTTACCGGTTTCACAATTTTTTAATATTTCTTCATGACTTAGACCTTCTACATTATTATTAGTCAACATTTCCGATAACACTAAACCGAATTTATTAAATATCTTTTAATATATCCGATAACGTCGTATATTAACCCGCCGTTCCTAAGACATTCCCAATAAAGTAGAGTTTCATTAAGCCAGTCATGATCAACCGCTTCATTTGCTTAGTTGATGGGGTGACCAAGTAGGTTAGGATGTCCCATCTGAGTGAAGGGAAACATGCCTCGAGTTATACGAGAATGTTGTGTTCCATCTGGTTTTGATGTTGTATCAGAGATGCCTTAAGACATTTTTAGGGTCATGATAAAAATTTAAAAATATATCTTTATAAAATAAAAGTATATTTTATTACATTGAATAATTAATTAAATATTACATAAATAAATTATATTAAAATAATTAAAATTTGTGAAAATATATTATTTTTATTATTTTATTAAGAAAACATCTTAAATACAACTAAAAGAGAATAAATATAAAAAAAAGATTGAATGCATGTATAATACATAGTTTGATTTTGAAGAGGAAATAAATAAAAGGAATTGTATATTATTTAATTGTTAGATTGAGATTGAAGAATACTAAAATTTAAAGAATATTTGATAAATTGAAGAGTAATATTTGAAAAAGAAAGAGAAAAAATAATTAGATTTAATTCGAAATTGAATGAATAGATAAGATAAATGAAAAAAGAATGTCAAAAAATACATATTTTATGAAATTAGAGACCCGAATTATAAATATAAAAAATAGTTAAATTTAGTTCAAAATCGAACCAATTAATAAGAGAAATGGAAAAAAGATAAAAAAACTAAAAACAATTATGAAATTACAAAAATTAAGAATGTTAATATAAATGTAAAAAAAATGAAGGACCTAATTATAAATATAAATAAAGTTGAGGACCCTGAGCGGTTACTCAGGGTACTCTCCAGAGCCGGCCCTGAAGAGCTTCACTGATACGAATTAGTGAAATAATATGTCAGTATGATCGGAATAGTGAATTATTAATAGGTCAACATAATGTTAAAATATATTTATAATATTTAATTAAATATTCATTTAATCTATACATTTTTAAAGTTTTATTTTAAGAAAAAAACTTTCTAACGATTAATTAGAAAATTACTTAAATTTTTATTTTCATTTTGAAATATTTTCATCTTTTATGACAAAAGAAAGTCCTTATTTTGAAAGGCAAAAAATTTATTCACCATTTATATTTTTATCTGAAACGAGTCTTTGTACTTGAATTGAAAGGATAGTGACTAAAATACTTGAAAATTTTAAAATTAAAATAATTACTGTTTAGTTAAGAATAATTTTTTCTCATTACGACTTTTTAAAATCCTTCACGAACTAATAATCCATGGGAGAGGGAAAAATCATTCAATAAGTAAAAAAAGGGGAAAATTAACTATATTAACAGCTCCTCTCATATCCTTCTTTGATAATCATAAAGCTACAAGGGGAAAAAAGGTACAAAACAACTGCTAATTGAAAAAAGCAACCAATAAAACCCTAAGCTTTCCATGATTCTAGAGTGGGAAAGCAAAGCAAACTGTCGCAATCCGAGGAAGCTCCAGCGTTGGCCACCACAGGAGACTGCAACGGAACTACGCCAGACACTGCAACACCTCCCGAAAACGGCTGACGGTGATCCAGTAAAAACGCCGATGTGTCCAGCGTAGGCAAGCTTCCGGGTCTCTGGGGCTCCGGCTTCAAGATCGGACCGGGAGACATCTGAGCGTTACCAAATCTGACCCCGGTCACCTGCTGCACCATCTGCCTGAAATTGGTCGGATCCGCTTTTATGAAAGTGGTTTGGGAGCGCTTGGAGGATCGGGACTTGCGTTTGGATTTGGACACTTTCCCCGTCGGAGGGAGGTCGAGTTTCCGTTGACGTTTAAGCATGGTTTCATGATCGGAACCGGAAATATTTGAGCCGGTTGGCGTCGGTAAAGGGTCGGAGTTAACGAGCGAGAAGAGCGGGGAAAAAGAAGAAAGACGATCAGTGTTAGAAATGGAGTCTTGAAGCGCCTTGGTTAGAGCTTCGGTATCACGAGAAAAAGCTTCACAGAGCCATGAATCAGTAAAAGTAGGACGAAACGCCCATGATTCTATGCTCCCCAGATTTTCCAATGAAGAAGCCATCAGATCTCTCTGCTTTTTTTGTTTTCACACAACTAATGAACTAAATGATCCAATTTATGTCAAAACGAAAGAGAAAAAAGAAGGGTTCAAAAGAAAGGAATCATCCAGTTGTTCGTGAATGGTGATGTTTATGGAATTTTGTTGGGTTTTTGGTTGAAAGTTGAAACCTAAAAATAGAAAACGAAAGGAAATGAAAGGATAGAGAGACAGAGGGGGAAGAAAGAGGAGGCTTTAAATAGGACGGTGCGGGGTAGAGGGGATAAACAGAAACCGCGTCGTAATGACATATGGACAGGCGTCAGCTTCTTCTCGTACGGGTCTCAATCTAACGTACTTCAGGTACTACTCATCTAACCATGGTTTGTAAGTGTTTCTTATTGCTCTAATCACATTTTTGTCCCCCAATTTTTTTCAAATCAATACTATTTTTGCTTTTTTTTTAAAAAAAACTAAATTTTTATTCAAAAAGAACAAAACAGATAATGTTATAATTGATAAAGAGACAAAAATAATTGATATCAACTTGACATATTTATTATTCCTTTGTCACCTGATTTAATTAAATAAAAAATTGAAAACTGGAAAAAATTTAACGACTAAGATGATTTTCGTAAAGAATTAGAGGGCCAAAAAAGTCGTTTGACCTTTACTATTATTTGATTTAGTTGATTTGTGCGTAATGAGATTGACTCACGGAGTGCAATGGCTTTCAGCCACTTATTCCACAGGTTTGACTGTCAAACCGCGTCTCTTGGCGTCCACCCTTACGCGTTAACTCCACTTTATATATATATATATATATATTTATTTTATTTACTAGTAACTACACTGCTTTTTTAAAATTTCATTTCTCCCTCTTTCTACCTCGAGGCTGGCATAATTTGGGCTAAATTAACATCAATTTGATATCTCACCTCCCACTAAAGTAAAACAGTTTAATATAAAGATAAGAAAAAATGTAATTAAAAATATTAATTTTATTTTAATATTTTTAGTAAAACGTTACTTAAAATGTTAATTTTGTTGTTTAAAATGTTAATTTTTTTAACGTTTTCCGTTGTAACCGAATATTAGGCTGTCGTACAACAGAAATACCCCCTCACTTTCTTCCCTTTTTTATATTTTGTAACAATACATTTTTTATTTGTTTATCTAAATTACACGTATGTCTCGAACTTTAACGAAATATGTTTATTATTAAGGTAAAATATACCATGGTTTTCAGAATCGTACCGGTTAGCGAACCGGTCATGCTACCGGTTCACTGGTTCAACCGGTCGAACCGATCGAAAGAACCGGACGATGTCATAATTATTTTAAAAATTAAATAAAAATACCAAAAATATGTAATAAAAAATAATTTTTTATATCACAAGTCATATTCAAAGCAAGTCATAACATATATAAGTTAAAAACCATAAAATCAAGTGAAACAAAATGATTCAAATTAACTACAACATAATATTTAAGGTAAAACATATTAAATAATAAATATAATTATATAACTATAATTAAAAAATAAATTTGGGGTTAAAAAATCATAACAAAATGATATTGTTTTGTTTAATTTTTTAAACAATCCCACATGGCTAAGAAACATAGAAGAGCACCCAAAAGTCTAAAGAGTAAAAATATGAGAACAAAACAATCTCACATTGCTAAGAAACATAGAAGCGCATCACAACTAACTTCTATAAATAATAGAGGTAATTTGGCATTCAAAATCATGAAGCCTTTTGGTGAGCATTGAGTGAACTATTCTTTCACTTCAATCAAGCTCGAATTTGAGACTTCAATCGAGCTTCTAATTTTTTTTTTGAGTTCAAGTTTCAATATTATATTTCGAGTTTGAGTTGAACTTGATAATTTTTAGCTTGTGAGTTTGAGTTTGAGTTGAGTTGAGCTTACTTTTAAAGTTTTCAAGTTCGAGTCGAGTTTAGCAATACTCGAGTTCGACTTGGCTCGTTTAACAAACGACGTTATTTGGTTTATTTTTTTTTTAAATCAAAAATCCCGGTTTTTTCCGGTTTTCAGCCGGTCCGGTTCGAACGGTTCAGCTGTTCTGGCCGGTTCACTAATAGCGGTTCAACCGATTTAGATTGAACCGGACTAAACAACGGTTCCCGGTTGAACAGGCCGGTCCGGTCCTGTTTTCAAAACAGAGAAATATACCGTTGGTCACTAATTTTTGAGTACGTTTTCGTTTTTCCCACTACAATTTCAAAAGTTACAAATATGTTATTAACATTATCGATCGGTTAGAAAATAGTCACTCACCGTTAACCGTCATTAACAGACGTGACGGAAACATATCTGGCGCGTTAACTGCTTACCTGGACTCGGTTGACCACCACGCTGGAGACCCAAATATCTCCAATAGTCGTCTCCTCTTCTTCTTTAACCAATCGATGAGGTTGACTATGTATGTATTTACCATATTTTGAAGCTTGTTGATAGATGGTTTGCAGAAAAGCCAAGGGGTCTTTGAAGTCCTCCATTGATGGATGAAATACTGGGCATTCAGGAACTGTTTGGTTCCAAAGAAACTTGAAAGAAAATGGAAAAACGAAAGAATGGGAGAAATTTTCTCGATGCTTTGGATTCTTTACTAAGGTTAAAAAACAATGTTTTCTTTCTTGCGTATAATGTGTGATCATAAACTCACCCAACAAGAAGTTTAGGATTTCTCTTCTCCCGTTGCATGTTTCTAAAAAACCCTCCAACAATCCCCAGCCCCCACCCAAAAAAAATTATCGCACTTATTCGCTCTTTTTATTACATTTTTCTCTCTTTCTAGTTGTTATTACATACGTACTTTCTCTCTTGTTTCAACTTTTTCTTTATGGGCTTGTTTGGTTACCAAGAAACTGACAAAGGATTTCCGGAAACCAAACGATTGTTTTCTCTTTGTTTCTATTTTCCTTGGCTATTTAATTGGTTATTTGGTCTTTCATTTTTTTTTTTCCTTTTTGGGAAGTGAAAGTAAGAAATTATTAAGAAAAATGGGTTCTCAAATAAAAAGAGAGATAAATTCAAAAAAGCTTAATTCATCCGAAAGAAGAAAGCGAGCCAAGACTAGTTTGTCAACTGCCCCAACAAATCTCACTTTAATGAAAGGAGAGACCAATGCCATGAAAAACCCTAAAATCATGGAGAAATTCAAGTTGAGTATTGAGCTTGAATGGAGGACTTCAAAGACCCCTTGGCTTTTCTCCAACAGTCACGTTCTCTTCAAAAACCCAAATTTTTTACTTTAGAGATTAGATTTTTATTTAAAGGAGAAGAGAAGGTGACATCTGGGTCTTTAGCGTGGTAGTCAACATAGTCAATCGAGTCCATGTAAGCAATTAACAAGCCACCTATGTTTTTCGTCACATCTGTTAACGACGAGTGATTATTTTGTAACTAACTGATAACGTTAGTGACTGATTTGTAACTTTTGAAACTTTAGTAAAAAATAAAAACTTACTCAAATATTAATGACTAACAGTGTAATTTATCCTTATTATTATAATGCTCATAAGTCATAATGAGATTTATATTATAATAAAGTCTAAATTATTTCAATATTACTTTTATTTTAAGTTTGTCTTATTTTGAAGACTATTTTTTTTAAATTATGTTTCAATTATACAAGTCATCAATTAATTATGTTTTCAATTTTCTTTGGTTTAATAACGTGAAATGTTAGTAAAATATATCAACTTTTAATTTAATCATTGAACTTTTATGAAAAAAAGATGTTTTCTTTTATCATTCCCTCGTGATACCAGAACTTGGAATGAAGCCCCATAACGAGGGATAGGGGTGTAAATGAACCAAGCTTGAACGAACAAGATTATGTTTGTGTTTGTTTGTTTGTTTTATAGGGGTTCTTGTTTGGTTTGTGCTCGTTTAGTTTTTTAATATCATGGTCGTGTTCATTTATTTATTTTTGAAGGTGTTCGTGTTCAGTTCATGTTCGTTTAATTTTTTAATATCATGTTCCTATTCGTTTATTTATTTATGAAAGTGTTCGTGTTTGTTCATTTAAAGTTCATAAACATGCTCGTTTAATGCTCGTGAATATGTTCGTTTAAATGCTCAAAAATTTGTTCGTTTAGCTTTCATTTAACATTCACAAAGGGGCTGTTGAATGATAGGTGCCATGGCTAACTCTCGAATCGTTTGATCGAATGTGCTACAAGTCGATCATTCCTCCCCAACTATTAATCGAAACCACAATCAATCCAACATGCACTTTTTGAAAAGAAAGCATTTTTTATTATAAAATGATGGTCTATCGTCGATTCTTGATACAAGAAAATTGAGAATGTAACCCAAAGGGTATTAAATGTTTTTCAATTATCACGATCGGAATTGAGTCATCGCTTCAGCCTTTGGCTATGAAAAACTTAGCTAAACATGATAGAAATCATATTTAACATTTTCAAAAATAAAGCTTAAAGAAAACTTAAATAAAGAAAGCGAAAAAAAGAAAAGAAGAATTTTATAAAATTAAAGAAATAAACAAAATAATTCAAGAGATGAGAGATGATTTGAAGCTTACCCCGATGATGTATTTATAGCTTCTAAAAACATAGTAGAAATGACAAAAGATGATCCTTGGAAATTGTTTGAATTAAATCCTAAAAATAAAGATAATTCATAATTTGAAATTCGAATTCGCGGCTAAGACTCCCTTCTTCACGAAACTACTGACTGAACCTTCTAGAAGATGCTGACTAGACGTCACGTCAGACGCGTCATGCCCCAAGTCATGCCCACTAGTGCAACCTTAACTCTAGAAAAATAAAAACGATAGAATTTCGTCCTTTTTAGTCCTTTTTAGCATAGTTTATGGAATCCAATGTCTTGTACAAAAATAAGAGAAAACGTCCAAATAAGCAACATAAACCGATGAACAAGGAATAATCAACAACAAAATAATAACTATTTAGATCACTCATCAAATTCCCCCTCACTTATTCAATGCTTCAATTATTCAATGCTTCAATGCACGTCCTCAAGCATTTCTCAATCAATGTATCAAGAATATCAAGTTGACATCTCCATTTCAATAAATTTCCAAGACTTCCAAGTAAATCAAAGTCAAAGAAAACGTTGAAATCCGAGAGTAATCAAGCAAAGACATAACTAAAAACAAGTATAAGCAAAGCATGTCATTCCAATTATCC